TTTGTTTTCATGTATTTACGTCTTTGTGCTTTCAATAACACTTTTTGGCTGATGTGTAGCCCTCACTTGAAATATATGAGAGGAACCTGTCTTTCTCTCATAAGAACGTATTCTTATTACCGGTATTTAGCCACTATTTGCGTCAACCAGAGCATTAGAGCAGCTAACCTACGTGTTGAATGACATCATGAGTTAATGAAGTTCTCTTTGACCAGCAGATATTTCTTATCTTATTTTACCCTAGTCTGGTCAAAACAGCAACACGTCAGTGTTAGTCGGGTACACATCAGATGATTAATTTTAAATAATAACTGATTGAAACACTCCACAGAAAGTTTTCCAGAATGCACAGGAGATTTGCTCAAGCATTAAGAAGTTTAGCCTTCAAAGAAGGAGAGTTGCCTTCAGACAAGCCCATACTTTTGCAATCAGCTGAGGAACATGCAGAGGACCAGAATCACACCGAGACGGAAGATGACTCATGGATCTTGCAAGAAGATCTAGAACGCATAAAACCAAGCAAGCAGCAGTCCAACCATCGTCTATTGTGGTTGGCCGTTGTCACGTGTTTAATTTTGTTCCTTGTCCTCCTTGTGAGTCTGCTGGTATTGTCTAGGAAAATTGGTCATGGATGTAAATGCTCGGAAGAAAATGGTTTGTTTTTTGAAAATCACCCGCAATTTCTTGATATCTTCCATTTAAGGCCTTCCTACAAAGCTTGACTTTATGTGTTTTATTTGCTTTAACTCTTTCTACTTCAGGGCCTCAACACCTTGAAAGTCAAACATCCGAGAAGAAATTTGAAAGGAAAAATACGACAAGCAATTCTGAATTGGTAAGGGCTTAATAGAATGGATGGGGAGGGGAGAGTTCGCCATGAAGTGGCTCATACTGCTGCTGTACCTAATTTCTTCTCTATCAGTGGGCTCATGTGCACGAGGCAAGAAGGACTGGTAGAGAGGTAGATGGAAAATCGAACACTGGAGGAGATTTATGCCATGTAGATTCTTCGGATTTACGAGTTACCGCAAAGAAAGAAAAAGAAGAAAAACTCC